ATTGAGAATGTGTGGTACATAGTAACATTGATACAGGATATGAATGGATTGCTAGGATTGTTAAGTAGACCTTGGAAGATCCAGGCTAGTATTTGTCTTTACAACCAATGCTTATCGTAAGAGGCGACTAACGGGTGCGGGTGGTCACGCTTGGTTGATGCATGTCAGTGTATTCCAATTGTCTTGATCGTTGCTCACGATGTCAATCACAGGATTGTCTAATCAACACTTTATTAATTCCAGACGGCCCTCATACAGCTAGAATGTTGCTGAGAGAGGCGTTAAACAGGACACAAACAAACAAAACTGTGAAGTATCCATTAATCTCTTAAAATTGCACTCAAAGCGAAGGACAATATCACATTCACACACATTCAGGGATGTGAGGTGAGGCGAGGTGAGGTGTGATGAGGTTGAATGTAGCGTTCAAGGTTTTACACTTACATGTATGAATAGCGACGTGCATGCATCTGCGTGATTCGATGAACATTTTAGTGAGAGATAACAATACGTTTTTCCACAAAATAATTCTAGAATGAAATATTATGATAAAGAGATGTGTTTCAGGTTGATAAATATCCTATAAAATGAGTAAACACATGTATGTATTTAAGCAGTTTATGTATATATTGTATATTATGTTTATTATGTTTCTATATATGTTCGATTGTTCGAGTCTTTAAGGTTTTACAGTATTTCCAAGTGCTGTCAATACAAATTATAAAAGCAGCTGGGGTATCATTACCATGGCCAGCAGCACAGAGGCATGTGCCTTATAAGGCAACATAAACAGCATCAAGTAGACTAACATTTAGTCTCTGAAATCTTATATTACACAATATCCTTCTGGACTCTAAAAATAAAAAAAATTCACTATGCTGATTTCAGGTGGAATAGAGCTATACTTGCTTTTGTATGCATTTCTAGATTATTATTTTTTCATAAAATAAATACATTCCACGGTCATGGTGCAGGACTAAGCATCAAGTTGCAGTCCCATAACTCCAAGAGTATGTATGGCCGGGCTCTCGCGCCCCTCACTCGCCACCGGTGAAACAGCTACCTGTGGCCTGGCCTGACCTGTGACCTGGTTACTTCCCCATGAGGGGTTTGCTTGAGGGAGAGGGGGAGGAAGTGCTCAGCGCACACTGCTCGCGGTCCACTGTATATTACTGCTTGAAATACTCTGTACTGCATGTGGCATACTGTATACGACACTTGAAATACTCTGTACTGCATGTGGCATACTGTATACGACACTTGAAATACTCTGTACTGCATGTGGCATACTGTATACGACACTTGAAATACTGTATACTGCATGTGATACATATCAGAACTCCGCTGGGGTATCATTACCATGGTCAGCAGCATGTGCGGGTCTGCGGCTTGTAATTAATGCCAGTTAAAACACATCTGTGACGTCATTCTATTGTTTGAACGCTCCATTATTTTTCAGGAATGGAGAGTTGCTTGTCAACTGTACATTATCTTGAAGCAGCATTTAAATGTTTCAAATATTTGAAACTACAGAATATTTTGTCAAAGTGTAAACGTAGGGATAAGTTTTAAGTAGGGGAATTATCTAGTAATTCTCCATTCCTTAAAAATATTGGGCCTCGGCCCCTGCGGGGCCTCTTCTCCATTATTTTTAAGGAATGGAGAGTTACTCGGACATTCTCCTTTACAGAATGGCCGGTTGGACACTGAAGCTTAACATTGTTGATGAGGTGCGGGAAGGTGCAGGCTGACCATATATGTTATGTAACACGATACATGGCAGATCGACAGTGAGGGTGAAAGATAGTACGCTTTCTGTGAGTGGAGACATGACCCTCGGACAGCGGCTAGGCAGGTTGGCCCTCTTACACTGCCTGGCCATTGCTGTAATACTATGCAGTTATACTAAGATCACGAATAAACGTTGTGGACCCATAGACGGACTTGTGTTGTCAAAGAGAAATATCCGATAGAGCACCAACGTCTACCTGGGATACCAGTTTCCCGTGAGTGTGTTGTTGCTTGTTGTTGGTTGTTATTGTGTGACGGATAATGAGAGTGAGAGTGAGAGTGAGTAAATATAACGCATCCCATATACGCATAGAACACGGGTATCGTGCTGATAAATCAAGGACAACAATCACCCCCACCCCCTACACAGACATCCACATGCCTTTGTGGGTAGCACTAGTATTGATTAGTTCATTCTATGTCATTTCCCTTAGCATTTGCCGACATATATGTTGTCAACAATGACCCAGAGGCCCACCTGCTCTTTGGGACCCCCGCGTTATACCAAATGACGTTAAAAATGGTACTTGTTGTTACCCTGCCTGGTGCTCGGCTCTAATGGATTGAAACAAGACCTGGTCGGCTTGGAGGAGGTAAACTTTGTCTCATAGGGGCATCACTGTTAAACTGCGGATGGTATCTCAGTGGGCTAGCTCCATAAAACCGGTTCTAGTCCGGACTAGTACAAGCAACCACACACACATAAGTACACACGTGCATACACAAGTACATTTATCGTGAACGCAACGTAAGTCATTCTCACTTGAACTCACCTCTTAAAGGAGAACGTGACATGAAGATTTTGTCACCAACCTGACTACAGGAGAAAACCCACCAGGCACTTACACACAATCCGACAGATATTATGTTTACTTTATGTTTATTAATAGATTCACTACGAGTGGCCGCCTTTATCGGAATATACAGGGTGCAGTGGCGAGCACAAAGGATGAAGCGAAGCGAAGTCACATACCACGAATGGCAAGTCCGTGTATATGGTGACCCGTCCGCACAAACAGCAATTCCTACTCAGACCCAGGTAGGTATCTGCGACCATCTCACGGCACATGCAAGTCGAGAGTCCATGCGATAACTTGATCCCATCCATCTTATATTTTGTAAGATTTAACGGCCTGTGTATGAATACACATGGTTGCCCCGGAGATATTGAGAATTCGTCAACAGTTCGTCGTTCGGAATTCATCGGATTCTTTCGTCACGAAGATTGTCGAAGTGAAGGGATTTTTGTCATGCTTCCAAAAGGCAGTGTCGAAGGTAAACAGGAAGTTGCAGCTCGTTGACAAGGTGGATATTTAGCCATTAACCAGGCCCGGGTTAGAAGGAAATATACCTACGACTACCTGTGACCTTGTTGAAACGATCAGAACAAACCAAGCCTGAAGGATCAAGTATTGACCGCCTTGCACAAGTTCACATTGTTCGTGGATGCAACTATTTGTATCGATCAGTGGAAAGTTACACGTATATACGGGTAGGTAGGATCTGAGTGTATTGCTGACTTGGTCTACCGACAGGGACGAACGTTGCTGAGATAGAAGGTAGGTTGTGTTATGTCAGTCTTTATTATCAATATAACAACAACAACAACAACAACAAGCACAACAACATCAAAACAAAAACGCTTGTTTGCTTCCAGGTGAGAGCTGAGACATATTGAAGGTAAAGCAGAGATATGTGATTGGGGGTTGAAGTTAGTAAATCTTTGCAACATTTATATTTACTCATCATAACCTCTGAACGCATTAGCACAGTATTATCAGTGCGTGTATACCTGCGTGTATACCTGTGTGTATCAGTTAATTCTTCTGCTTACCACCCCAGTATGTCATACACGTGTTCATAAAGACTGCAACCTATTCCACGCTTGAGCGGATATCGACCCACTTGCCTTGTGGGGCACGCTGACACAATAGACATTTGCACGCAAGCATGTACAAACTTGATGGTGACGGAACACAGACGCCCGTATTATTGAGTGAGTTGGAATTAACGCCGTTTTTAGCAATATTCCAGCAATATCACGGCGGCAGACGCCCGTATAGTGAGTGAGTGAGTGAGTATGGTTTTACGCCGCTTTGAGCAATATTCCAGCAATATCACGGCGGGGGACACCAGAAATGGGCTTCACACATTGTACCCATGTCGGGAATCGAACCCGGGTCTTCGGCGTGTCGAGCGAACGCTTTCACCACTTGGCTACCCGACCGCCCCAGACGCCCGTATAAGACTTGGGTACATGCTATTTTTAAACATAAAGAAAAACTTTAATGATCGGTTTTAGTTTTAGAAGCTTTTGATATATATACTGGACCGCAAAAGAAACGTCACCCCAAGTAACATTGCATTGTTGTCATTTGAATATCTGGGTAATTTTTGTAACATTACCGTGTACGGAAAAATTAAATTAGAATGTAATGATAATGTAGATGAGATGATAACAACGACGAAACTGATGAAATTGTGGCTGATATCCTTGATTCCCCAATTACGAAACTTTAGAAAGCATCGGCCGTCTTCAGTGGGCAACACAGCACCAGCTTTGGTGCCACCAGCAGTGGAGAAGAGTCCTCTTCTCAGACGAGATCCGTTACTGTATCGCAACAACAGATGGCAGAGATAGGGTCTGGCGGCGCCGTGGGAAACGTTATTCGGATGCTTGTGTTGTTGAGAGAGACAAAGGGGTGGTCCGAGCATCTTGGGGGGGGGGGGGGGGGGGGTCTTGCACAGAGGGACGGCCCCGTGGTCTTCCAGAACATCGATCCAGGGAGAGGCAATGGTGTCACAGCAGCTCGGTACATTGATCAAGTCTTGATACCACACGCCATTCCTAATTTGGCACGTCGCCGACACCTCGAGTTTCAGCATGATAACGCCCGTGCCCACAGTGAGAAAGCAACAAGAGACTTCCTCCAGCAGAATGGCATCAGAACCATGCAGTGGCCTGCCCTCTGTCCCGATATAAATCCCATTGAGCACCTGTGGGACGAGATTCAAAGACGGATGAATGACGTCCGACCAAGGCCAACAACTGCAGTTGAACTGCGTCAGGCGTTCCTCAGAGTGCGGGCTCAAATGCCTATGGCCTTCATCCGCCGCCTCACCCATTCCATGTATCGACGTTGCACGGCAGTCATCAATGCACATGGCGGACACACGAGATACTGACTTGTGATGCCATTTTCTCAGAGATACGTGTTGTGTTTCACTTTAAGAACATTTGACACTTTAATTTCAACCTAATGATCAGTTTTGTTAGGTTTCATATCTTTAAAATATCTCAAAGTATGTTTACAGTGTTTGGACAAATAAGGTTTCGCATATATCTGTCCATGGTGACGTTTCTTTTGCGGTTCAGTATATATGCTTGTCACGATTGTTTTGCATCAGCGATATAAGGTTATATAGGTATCTGCGACCATCTCAAGGCACATGCAAGTCGAAAGCCTCTGCTTCATGTTGTGTTGAGAATAGTAACATTTTCATTGCAGTGAAGAGCTAAACCTTTAACCTCATTTTTATGTTAGTTCCAAAGACAAGGAAAACATAATTATAGGTCATTTATGGAGTTAATATCGGTTCTTGCCTTTTGTTATTCTCTTGAAAATACTTCGTACTAAACTGTAATTTTCTGATTTATCTCAATCAAGAGCAAAGCACCATTTTTGTGATTTGACCAACGAGTATTCTTTTGCTTTACACATTGGTTTTTCAGATTTCAAGAATATATGTTTGTTGAAGTTGAGTCTGTGTATAGTCGGTTTTCAAATTTATGATAATGTATACTCTTCAAAACGAGAAACGCAATTCAGATATCTTTGTAAAGCATAACTGGCGGACCAAAATGTGCAAAATGAGGAGGTTTAATGTGTCTTGCAAATTTCCCGGATCAAAATGATCACAACAAGGACATGCAAACCATTAGTCGGGAAAGACGTACGATTCGGAAAAACGCATCCAGTGCATTAACATAAGGGTCATGGAGCTGTACGTGCAGTACTATGAACGGTATTAAAGTGCAGGGTTTTTTGATTGCCTGGCATCTGCGTCAATCGAACAGTTGAAGTTCAACAACATGCCAAAATTAAGTGCAAAGAACAACGTCATAGGCCGCTTTCAGGCATGGGAATCCCAATCAGCTGTCGCCAGGGTTTTCAATGTAGCGCCCAGCATCATCACAAGGCTATGGGATCGGTTTCAACAGCATTGGTCAACACGTGATCGGCCGAGGTCGTGACGACCAAGAATAACCGCCCCCGCCCAGGATCGCTACATCCGACTGCGACGCCTTCGTGAAAGGACGACCACAGCCACCTCAACGGCATCCCAAATACCCGGACTGCGCAGAATTTCTGACCAGATCATACGAAACCGTTTAAGACCAACAGGTCTACGAGCAATACGTCCTGATCGACGCGTCATACTGTGGGTATACACAGGGTATGGCCTCAACAGCGTTGGAGAGATGTCTGGCGTCAAGATTTCTCCTCCGTCGAGGGGATGGAAGAGCACGGGTCTACAGACGTCGGGGAGAACGCTACTCCAACGGCAACGGTTATTCCAGTAGGACAACGCTCGACCGCATACAGCATGGATCACAAGAGCCTGTCTACACAACAACAACGTTGATGTTCTCCCCTGGCCCTCCAGATCATCGGATTTGAACCCGATAGAGCACCCGTGGGCTAGGTAGGGAGAATTTGTCAGGTTTAATATTTGTAACGAAATAATATATTTTCCGGTGGACAACTACACGAAAGGTAGATAATAAATGGGATAGTACATGTGTCTCCTGAAATACGATGTCTCTCCCAACTCGTGATAGGGGAAATGCGATATTAGCGAGTGGCGTAACTCGTGAAAATATCTACTTTTGCTCCGTCACTCGATGAGAAATATCTAACATTTCACTTGACACATGAAAAATCCCCCACGTCCTGCCGGTTGGTGTGCGCGAAAAGAGGCTTGACGAAGTCGCGTGACAGGGTTGTGATTTCACCACACACGCTGGTGTAAGGGAGGCAACTCCACTTAGCTGAAGCAGGGTGCCTGGCCTCCACTAAAACAATTTTTTTCATACTGGCTTTCACTAATCAGACTATATCTTATTTCACGCTCAATGGAATCTGCTCTGGCAGATACTCGAGGCTGATTGACGATTTGCACAAATGTATAATTTCCAAAGTCATTCAGGCGCAACTCTTCATGTGTAGTATTGGATTGGGTGGGTCAAAGGTGAATCTGTACCTGTTTCGAGTCGGACGCCATGGGCTTTTTGAACTGATTTGAAATGCAATAGAGAATAGCATTGTTCGTACACCCCTCGCCCACACGTATAGACGAGGTACAAGTGATTTCATGATATAACTTGTCATACATTAATAGTCAGAAAGTACTTGGGTATGCATTAACCTGGTAACACCTGATACTAAATGCTACATAATCTATTTCAGCTTCAAGGACCGACGTTGATCACACGTGCAGTGAAAAGTGAACCATGTTAGGTAAGTACAATATTATTTAAATCACGTGCATGTTGTGTTTACCTTGAAATATAGTGTAGAATTACATATATTATAATTATATTGTAAGGGGGCACGGGTGGCCCAGTCGTCTAAGGTAGAGTTGCGTCCCTTGGGAACGCCAGAAACTGATGATTGTGGGTTCGAGTCCCGGTTCGGCCCGATTATGTTTCTAGGTTTGTCAGCACCATGCCCGTGCTCGTGGGTTTCACCGAAGTTGTAAACGCCTGACACCTGCATCACTTCGGGCTTTCTTCCCACATTAAGCTGACACGCCGCGATACAAATGGAATATTGTTAAAAGCGGCTTTAAACCCAACTCACTCACTAATCTGTGTTATGTGATATCATGAACGATAATACCGCGATTTAAAGAAAACATTTGAAGGATTGACATATTGTTAAATATGTATGTCCCAATCATAACAAATATGGGATAAATATTCCACATATTTAAATGTTAGTTTTGTGTCTGTATGCGAGATGAGTATTTGTAATGGAATATCCCCCAGTGAGTGAACGTTGTTTAATGATCAGAAACAATTTAAAGTACGGCGGTCTGCAAATAGCCGAGACTCGATCAGACAAACCTTTAAAAGAAAACACGAGCACTGATCCACCCACTGTGGGACAATGTGCGCCGGGGCTGTGGGGTAGCCTAGTGGTTAAAGCGTTCGTCACGCCGAAAAACCGGGTTCTACTCCCCCCATTGGCAAAATGTGTGAATAAACGCGTCAAAGCCCTTTCCATATGGATATGTGAAATGTGGTAGAACATACAGTGACCAAAGGGTTCATGCAGTCGTTCACTGTTATGACCTAATGTACACGGGACCCTTGGGAACATTAAGTGGAGTCAGAAATTTATTATCTGCGCCAATAAGAGAGTGTGGGTCAGTATAACGTGCGAGGAAAGCCTGAAGTGATGCAGGTCTCAGATCTACCACTCTGGTGAAACTGCGAGCACGGGTATGGTGCTGACAAACCTAATCGGGGTGAACCGGAAACCACTCCAACAATCATCCACGTCTAGTGTGCGCAGGGGAAGCAAATCTGGCCAGCGAATTGAGGCGCATTAGACGAGTGGGCCGACCGTGTCCCCGCCAATAAAGGAAGTCACTTCCCATTCTGTACATAACTACATAAGTGAGTGAGTGAGTGAGTTTGATTTTACGCCGCTTTTAGCAATATTACAGCAATATCACGGCGGGGGACACCAGAAATGGGCTTCACACATTGTACCCATGTCGGGAATCGAACCCGGGTCTTCGGCGTGTCGATCGAACGCTTTAACCACAAGGCTACCCGACCGCCCCCATAACTACATAAGCATATTACTATAATCTAGACGATGACTACAGAACAATGATCATGTTTCAGCCATAGGTCAGGCGTACCATGACATGAAATGCAGCAACAGTAAGTAAGTCTTGAGTCTACGCTTTTTGTTTCTTTGTTTTTGACGCCGCAATCAGCAATATTCAAGCCACATGACCGCGGTCTTTTAAATACTCGAGTCTGGACTAGACAATCCAGTGATGACACCATGAGCATCGATCCACACAATTAGGATACGATGACATGCATCAAACAAGTCAGCAAGCCTGGCAACTCGTTCCCGTTAGTCGCCTTTTCCGACAATAACAGTTGCCTTTTAGGACATGAATTGGTTGCTGAAGATCTATTCTAAGCCTGATCTTCAGGAGTTATTCTTAGCTATGATTTGGTAAAACTGTTATATATAAGGTCAACCACAGGGTAACAATCATAGTTTTAACATAAAAAATAGATATCCTGACTTCTGTTAATTTCCTCACATCCTTTCATTGTTTATATAATAATTGTTGAAATTGTTTTTCAGCAGTCGCAGTCATCTCCGCCGTCGTATGCCTTGTCGTTCCAATTTTCATGATATCTATGGGTAAGTTAATTTTACAAGCGATCTCGTATGTCAACCATTAACATCGTAGCACGCATCCAATCTTAACTAATTTTATTGTGCCAAGAACGGACATAAGCTATTTTCACCCAATTTTAAATTATTCGTGCTTCTTTGTTTCACATGCTATATCTTTTTTTATACATAATTGGATAAAGGCACCGGGCGGCACCGGGCTTTGCATCTACCCAAACCTTTTAATGTTCCACCCATGTACCAACTCACAGTAACGAGTTTGGAACCAAGTATCTGTATCTTCCCTTGTTTGTTTGGTGTTTAACGCCGCACTTAGCAATATTCCGGCCGTATGACCGCGGTTTAAATTTTGAATAATCTACTCTGGACCAAACAATCCGGTGATTGATACCATTGATCCACGCAGATGTGATACGATGACATGCATCAACCAAGTCAGCGAGCCTGACCACCCGATCTCGTTAGTCACCTGTTACCACAAGCATAGGTTGCTGAAGACCAATTGTAACCCGGATCTTCACGGGTGATACCACCCAGCTTGGGTCTAGACATCAAAACCATATGACCACACATACAAATTTGGATAATTCATACCACATGCAAAGGTACAGAACTACATTTTTAAAATTATGAGAATCAGATAAAAATACAAGGTTGATGGTCTCTTTGCAACCGATGACATGCCTGTTCCTGGCAGATTTATACATTCGTCCCAGTGAGATTTTCCCTTTTGTCATCTTGTTGAGCACAATGCAAAAGTACATGAGTGTTGTCGTCAATCTCATAGAACAGTTAAAGGGGCCCTGTGTTCCACATCCTGGTGCATATATCCAGTCTGGGTCTAGACATTAAAACATGACTACTACTGTCATGTTGAATTGGGAGTGACTCAGTAACCGATATACTGATATAAACTTGAGGTAGCAGACATATTTTGTATTTGAAGGTCTTGAATCAAACTTGCTTGGACTGCCATTTTGATAGACTGTAGCGGCTTTTAAAAAAGTTCCTCTCTTCAACGAGAACATTTCATAAATACATGTTATGATTTCATTTTTCAAATATATCACATTCAGTTCGTGCAAGCGCTGAATTATTGGAATGGGTTAAGTTTGTGTCAATGTTGATCTATAAGAATGCATGTTCCTTCATACCAGGAAAGATTCACAAGGATGAATGCCCTGCTGAAAAGTACATTTCTATCTACCTGATCGTGGGAGGATCCGCCGCCATCGCCTTCATTGTACTGCGCCTCTTGGTGAAGATGTGGTGCCCTAAACCAGGAAAGAGCCATCTCTGTGACATTATCTCCACCATCACAAGTCTCACCATAGCTCTTTTCATGTTTGCCTGGTTTATTGCAGGTAACATTATTTAAGCATTATTTTACAAATGATAAGATCGTTTTCCACATCTATGAAACAATAATATATGTCATGTCTGTATTAATAAAAATATGGATAGACCCGTGAAGACCCGGTTTAGAATTGATCTTTAACAACCAGTACGTGCTTGTCGTAAAAGGCGGCTAATGGGATCGGGTGACCAGGGTCGATGACTTGGTTTATGCATGTCATGGTATCCCATTGCTCATGATGTCAATGGTTGTCCTGTCCAGAATCGATTATTTACAGACCGCCGTCAGATAGCTGGAATATGAACAACAAACATGCTAAATATATGGAAAGCTTAATCTCAGCTGTTCCGTCATTGTGTTCTACATGGAAATGAAAATGCATTCACAAGAGGATTCATACAGTTTGGACTTCAGTTTTTCGATTCACTCCTCAATGAACCGAAAAGAAGTCCTTCATCAACACTTTGTGCGTAGAGCATATAGACATTGACTTTTTATGATGACATCTGTTTGATGGAGGGTTTGTCTTCAGGCAGAGTAATATGGTTTCTTTGAAACAGACCCGATTTTAACGAGACGATGAAAACAACTTGGTTGAGTGGATTAGCAAAACGGCCAAAGTTTCAATTCTTGGGTAATAATAATAAAGTCCAGCTGAACACATACTGGTAGATACATGCCTTTAATGCACAGGAACTCGATGATAGCGTGTATGCGAATATATTGTGTTATACACGCAATCATCGAGTCCCTGTGCTGTTATGCTGTTAAAGACTGGCTTGTTTCTGATTGTTTCCATGTCATCCAACACTTGATGTAGTAAATTCAATTTCAGGCAGCGTGTGGATCTACAGCCTCTACAATAAATACGACCCATCAGACAAGACTGCCGCCAACTACTGTAACAACACATTTTACGTGTTCGCGTTCTGGAGCACCACGACAATTTACATCCTGATCGGAGTCATCGTCGTTATATCCTGCGGCTACACTTACCATAAAATTCGACAGTAGTCGACAACACTCATGTGCTGTAGTTGGAAATGTTTGACTTGTGAAAATGAGCAGCAGTTACGGAGTTTGTTTTTGAAAATGTGTTGCATTATTTAAAAGACGAGGTCAAAAGAGTTGCGCGACCTGTAACTTGTAACTGCTTCATGGCACAACATTCACGACAGTCATTTTGTAAGTATGTGTTTTAGTATGGTAGTTACGGTAACCTTTGCTCAACGATTGCTTTGTGGAGCGGACCCCTGAATTGTAATCCGCATCCGCCCATATACAACACGACGTTTCATAAAATTGGTATTACTCTGAGCCTGTTTAGTATTCTATATGCAACTAATGTTCAACGACCCATAAAATTCATTTATGGTGCTCCACTATGTCGTACAAAAGATGAAAACATGATCAGTTTAAAAGTTGAAATATTAACAATAAATAATTTTAGTTTTAATTTGATGTCCAAGTCTGCTTACCATATGCAATTAGACTTCTCAGTATATCTGATTGAGCCATCAACCATGATGACTTAATCCTCTACTCACTTTGACATATTTTGACAGCCAGTTTCTTGCAGAATATAATTGTCCCACGGAAGGAGTGAGTGAGTATGGTTTTACGACACTTTTAGCAATATCCCCGGAATATCACGGCGGGGGACACTATCAATGGGCTTCATACCAGGTACCCATGTGGGGAATCGAACCCGGGTATTCGGCGCCAGGAACGAACGCTTTAACCACTAGGCTACCCGCAACCCCTTCACTCCTGAAAGGAGTGCGTATACTGTATGATAAACCAAAACTCAATACGACATATTATTTAATTTATAACTCCGAACTAAACGTTTGTTCGAGAAAGAAAAATGCATCATTCATAATTCAATCACGCAAAGTTCGTTTGTTTGTTTGTTTAATGTTGTTTAACGTTGCTATGTGGCGGCGGTCTGTAAATAATCGAGTCTGGACAAGCCAATCCAGTGATGGATGTCACGAGCATCGATCCACGCATACGGTGACATGCATCAACCACGTGATCGAGCCTGGCCATCCGATCCCGTTAGTCGACTCTTACGACAAGCATAGTCGACTCTTACGGGATGCATGGGTTGCTGAAGACCTATTCTATCCTGGATCCTCACGGGTCTTGTTTAAATTTAAAACATTAATTTAAATTTACACGCGGGACAGTGTACATAGCAAAAGTTGATGCTTTAAAATATCATATCGAAGAAATGAACGACCAGTGGCAATTGTTTATGTACAATAAAAGTCTGCGCCCCTCGTGGTTTATTCTCCCTGCAGTTTGTTTTTAATTTTTTTATTGTACAATAAACAACTTCGAGTCGTTTAATTTTCTACATGAGATATCAATATTTTGTATAGGCTCTTTGAGGGTGTCAAAGAACAATAGCTTCCTGAATCGCGGCAATGTCGGACAAGTCCATTAATGAACAGGGAGAGGGGGATAAATGTCATATCTCCCAGATATTCTAACAATTTTCACGTCGATCATCTGAACCCTTTTCTCCTATTACTGATTGATAAATCTATCTCACTTGTGAGTGAGTGAGCGAGTATGGTTTTACGCCGCTTTTAGCAATATTCCAGCAATATCACGGCGGGGGGTACCAGAAATGGGCTTCACACATTGTATCCATGTCGGGAATCGAACCCGGGTCTTCGGCGTGACGAGCGAACGCTTTAACCACTAGGCTACCCGACCGCCCCTATCTCACTTGTGGGTGCGACCGTTCGGTCATTGCGTTTATCTGGGTTGCACAGCCATATCTAAGGGGAGGATACACGACGTCATCAATTTGCGAGCACATGTTCGAATCTCCAGGAATGATAGAACAATGTTTTAATGTGAAATAAACCATGCTTTAACTTTCATTATTCTTTGCGATTCATCACGTAGTTCTCTTATATTTGTAAAATTAACGACTTCTACCCTTATATGCCTTGACTGTTGTAACCTTGATCAAACAACTTCTGATCAAACAACTTCTGATCAAGGGTCGTATGACGCTCTCTGAAATCTAGGTAGAAAGCATGCTCGAAGTTGCGAAATACCCAAGGCTGGAGCTGCTGGAATAGTGCTCGACATGAATCGAAAGTTGAACTCACCCCTCTTGCCATACAGTTTTGTCTCTGTGTCTCTGAATCTAAATATGCACTCAGCAATATTCTAGCTATATGACGGCGGTCTGTAAATAATCGAGTCTGAACCAGACAATCCAGTGATTGATATCGTGAACATCGATCCCAGAACTGGGATACGATGACATGCATCAACCAAGTCAGCGAGCCAGACCACCAGATCCCGTTAGTTGCCTTTTACGATAAGCATTCTATCTATTCTAGCCCGAATCTTTACGGGTCGGCAAAACAGAGGAAGGGAATTGTCTGTTTGATTGTTATTGAACGATATCAGATCATCGATCAACCTGAAGCTTACGTTTTTAACTTCTTTGCCAAATGACGTTGTTTTGACTTTGCCAATCCACAGCAAAAGAAGTGTAGGTTTCCGGCATCCGGAAACCTTCCCACTTTGAATCCAGCCCAGATACCTTCCGGAAACCTTCCCAAAAATGTCAAAATTTGGGGGTGTACTTTGTTCACATACGTGTGAAACACATAAAAATATTATCTTGAAATTACCAAGAAATTTGAAGGTTGCTGAAGGTATCTTGAAGGATTTTCTTCATGTCTTGTTTCTGGTAAAAAATGTAAGCATGTTCATAACATATAGCTGTTGTAATATTCTGTGTTATTTTAATGGTAAATATTCTCCTAAAACTGAGATCTATGGGCATGCATTCAATTTCAATATTGTTCTTTTCAATTTTTAAGGGTATTTAACGAACAAACATCAGTTCTCGTATAATGATATCCTTAAATTTCATGTCCAGACTTCCAGTTTGTGTTGAGGAAAAAGAAAAAGTCATCGACGATGTGCTCACTTGGGCCTTTGGTCCTAGTGAGATGATAATAACACTATTTCTAACGTACATGTACTTGTTATATCCAGACGTGCACCCTGGTTTTATCGTACTGAAGTGAGCTCTTCTTCAGTTGCTGTGAATTCTTTTATTGAAAGAGATTGAGAGTTAATTTAGACACTGGAGTTGTAACCACTGTATACTAGTATGCGTATTCAAATAATATAACAACTACATGCTTAATACTTCACAAACGTCTCCAGAAATAGGCATTTTAATTAAAATGGCAGAAATACTTTATGAATGACCCTCACTATTGCCTTGACCTTACACTTTAACCCTTCATGTATTTCTTTTGAGTGTTTAACCTTCAATATCAGTGATAATGTCCAAAACATTTCAAAGAGCTATCCAGCACATAAACCAAATATGCTGTCCTTTGGTGGAATTCAACGTGACATTGACAAAAATATGAAAAAAATATAACCAGTATATGTATAACTGCCTGCAGAAAAAGGCAATTGAGTGAAAAATGTAGTATATGTAAGTCACGCACGACCTTTTCCCAACTACGACCCCTGCCCAAAGGAAGAGTTAGACCACAAACAAACTTTTTGTCTGGGTGTGACTTTGACAGAGCAGTGTGTCATCAGACGTTCTCAAAGCTAAGGAAACATGTGTTATTTATTTCTGAGATGCCCAAGCAATGCATGATTTTACACAGCTGGCTAATGAGACATAAACAACAATCAAATTATCAATTTCTTTTATGCATATGCCTATAGTATATCACAACAGAGTGTAATAACTGTTCGCTTGGGAGCACCTACGGATCATGTTCACTAGTTCAGAGAACTTACTTTCCCTCAAACCTCTTTTTCCTTCTATACTGCTATGGAAGAACAGGAACCAGGATGAAGGAAAGCCAGATGGGCTCTATTCCTGCTACATTGTGTTCGTAGAATTGTGAACTTTCCATTTGGTGTTTGGGTCTACATTTAAAGACAATCAGTCCCATTTATCCATCCTTTCAAGTGTTTACCACATGGCGCAAGACAAACATTTCCCACTGCAGCTTGGCATTAGTTGGTCTTCCCACATTAGTCAGACCAGCCTTTGTGTGTCCCAGTACCATTTGGCATACAACTTCTCGGTCGGCCTCCATTGAAATAACAGGACCCTCGTCATCGCTGTCTGCAAATCACCTCTGATATCTGGAGGGGTGCACTCTCTGTTAAGGACTCCCTTGTCTGGTCGTTCCAGGCTGTCAACTTGGAGTACTCATCCAGGGATCACAAGCAGGACTTCAGTTTCTGCAGCATTATGTACAAAGATTTTAGCAATCAAAAAGAAATGCTGGTTACTGAGCAAAACTTGGCACACAGATAGCAGTGATGGCCTTTGATTTGGATTTATATATACTTGTATGTGAGTCTTGTTATATGCCAAACATTTAAGATAGTCACATCTCAAATTTCGACCAGGCAAACCAGTGATTAATGTTATGAACTCGGTCCAGACAAACCGATGATAACTGTTATGGACAATATCCCACATATAATTACATGCGATCAATTAGCCTACTCACTACATGATCTATTAATTTGGCTTGTATGGCAAGCATAGGCTGCTGGGAATCTTTTTAAGAGATGTCATTTAGTGATTGTTTTAACTCATCAAAATGCAAAAATATATATTTACAATCCTTGTCATATAGCCAAACTATTGCTAGAAATAAGGGAGTTGGGTTTAACACTGCTTTGAACAGTATTCCAGATATATCACCGCCTGTTAGCTTGATGTGGAAAGAAAGCCTTAAGTGATGCAGGTCTTTGATGAATCCCACGAGGAGTTGCACCCGACTCGCCTAAAAGATATACATAATATTTTGGTATGCGTTTGGCAAATATAACTTAGGTCAGGCCTTATGATCACAATTACTAGTATAATTCATGCACAAGTATGGAAATAATAAACAAACAACAAAAACGTATCACCCATAGAATTTGTCTTCTGTCATATTTACATCCTAAAACTCTGAACGTGATAAACTCTGGTAATCAGGTAATCCGCTCAACTTGAAACAACAACGTTAATAGATTGGTATTTATTTTTTATCGCCCAAACTAATCAATCAGTGATGTGAAGTCACCGAGAGTGACAGCGATTGTATCAAAACAACGCCACGACATCGTATCAAAATCGCATCAATCTAGAAATGTTTCAGGGAGGCCACAAAGACACCAAGTACTGGAGATGTTCTGTTCGGTACGGCAAGAACTTGAGCTGTCCAGCATCTCTGGTCCAGAAAGGAGAAGACTTCAAGTTGAAGAAAGATCACGTCCACGAGGGTGTCCCAGGCATTGCCACCACATCAGCATTGTCATCCGAGATCCAGAAGCGGTGTGTGGATTCCCTGTTCAAGTCTGCCCAGGAGATCGTCGAGGACCACTTGAGTATGAAGTAAGTTTTATTGTTCCGGCTAACAATATTCTGTCTAGAATTATATGTAAATAAAATATTACGTTAGTATTAATATAAACGTTAATAAAACGTTTTCTTTTTTGAACAGTTGGAGCGACACTACCTCCTTTCTGACTTCCTTGTTGATGACTTGGACTTTGATGGCGCCCGGCATCTCATCCTAGCGACGCCTGAACAACTGGAGACCATGAAGACCGCCAAGTCCTGGTTCCTTGACGGGACATTCCGTGTCGTCAAAGCGCCCTTCGTACAACTGTGCTCCGTTCACGTTTTCTTGGTTTTCCGAGACAGGGGAGATGAAGCAGGTACCCACTGCTTTCATCTTCATGTCTCGCCCAAGAAAACCAGCACGCCATTTGGAAGGTTTTGTTCTTCCGAACAAACCATAATAGGAGTCTGGCGGAAATATGAGGAGAGAGTCATCACCCCACGCCAGTACTAAGCTGCAGTGGCTAAAACGCTGTAACAGTGAAGCGTGTCACATCTGAAAACATGTTGGAATGGAAAAAAATATAATATAAAAATACAGAAACCAGTGTCTGTGAATACAATATTGATATGAAACAAGTCTGTTGT